TTAATTTTGCAGCAAGTTTTGGTATTCTGTGAGCAAATTCATTAGTATTTTGATAGAAAATCTTTCTCAAAAAGTGCCAAAATCGGGAAAAATCGGGAATTCCCGAAAAATAGAGACTCTAATCATTATTAAATAAATACATAAACAGCTTACCTGACACGAGTCCTGACCGCCGGCATCAATACCGGCACAAAACATACGCTCAGTTATATCATTAAAGCCGTCATATTTCTGGGAACAGAGATCGTTGGCCACAATCGGGACGTCGACGGTCTGCAACACGGCTGGCAACGCTCCGCCCTCTGTGAGCGTTCCCCAACCGGTAACTGTGACCAAATCAGCGGCAGGCAACTCTTCATTTTGATCTGGCAACGCTATTTTGTTGATATTGTTTGAGCCCAAACTAAATGTGCCCGCAATGCGAATTAGACCCAGATCATAGTCTAGTGTCCAGCTGTCGTATGTGGGGTGTGGTATAAGTTGTGCGATTGTGTAGTCGATGCCAGGGGTGGCGTGAAAGTCGGTGCCACAGCGTAACGACAACTGTGTTGGTTGTGCTCTTAAATCATAAAACAATTTATTTAAAAAATAATTAATTAACAATATACAGTGCAACTTCTCACTAAGAAAACTTTTGCAATACATCTGGCAGTTATTATAAAGAGGTTGCACTGTATTACCAAAATCGTGATAAACTTAGTAAACATATATGAATTACCCATCAATACAATGAGCGGCAGTTATGACCCACTGGTCGCTAATAATGGATGCGCCGCACGAATGGGACGATCGTCTCAATGAGCACTGGTGTGGGTTAGCCCCGGGTTCAGCATCTTTGCCGCCAACGATCCATTGGTTTGTGTGGTTTCGCACTAAACCCGCGTACGAAGGGATGCGTCCCCTATGGGTACGGATGGGTAGGTTTAACGGTTCGCTTAAGCATAAGCCAACACATACTGACACAATTAATATGTAATTCATTGTTTATAATAATTTTTGACACAGTTTGTTTTAATCATTTTTACAAAATTATTTGCTTATATACTTTTATTCGGTGACAGATTATTTCACAATTTTCTAGACGATTATTACCTTAATTGTAAGTAAAGTTTATAACAAGTTACTTGATAACACTTTGGAAAGTGAAACAAATAAATCAAAAGTTCAGTTTTGTTCTATCATATATAATTTATATGATTGAATTTATTACATTGAGTTTGATTTTATTATAATTTTAACTTAATTAATAAAAGTGTCAGATAATTGAAAAATAAAATTCTCATTTTAATGCAATAAAGATGAAGCGAATGTTTTATTACAAATTTCACAATAAAATATATTTAAGTTATAATGTCTGTAGATTTTAATATATTTCGATTAAATATAACAATAAAAGTGTATAATTTATATTATGGATTGTCATTTTGATTGTAACCTATTTTATTTATTAATAATTTAACCAGTGTAGACCCTAAAATGTATTTAAATAATATAAAAATAATAGATTGGTTATAAATTGTTGTTATTTTCATATTTTACGATATATCATTTAATCTAAAATGAATTATGTTTTTAAAAAATTCGATAAGTGCTTTAATAACCTATCTAAAAACATTAATTGAAATGTAGTTTTTTGTTTTTAGTAATTATATTGTTTATTCATAATAAAAAGTGATTTATAAATCTGTGATTAAATTAACTGAAATCATATAATGTTCACACAATATATCACTTTCTTATGCTTTAATAACAACAATTATATCATAGCTTTATAATCTAGAAAAATATACCGTTTTTAAAACTTTATAAATACTGTTAAACAGGGACAGAGAAATAAACACTCATTAAGTTAAAAAAAAAGTTTAGTCTCTTTGTTATGAAGTAGACATTAATTATAAAATAAATTGTTTTACCCAACTCAACAAAGATTATGAGACTTGAATTTATGTTTTAAAACATGCGAATGGTCACAAACACGGCAGATATGAACAAAACTTTTACCCCCAATCCATTAAGAACTTGGTTGTATTACAAAATTACAGATAATGTATAACTAATTCCAATTACTAATAATCTTGTGTTATCTTTAATTATTAAAATAAATATTATTCTCACAATAAAATGTGTTTAAATGTATTGAATCAAAACGGTGTTTTAATTTTAAAATTAATAATGTGCATACAATTACACGTTAATTTATAGATTTAGATTTCATTTTAAAACGTAAATGATTAAATATTCATGATTATAATTTACAAAAATTACAAATACTTGAAACTATAATAATTATAGTTATTATAGCAATTATTGCATATTTCTATAATTTTGTGTTGTTAATTAAAAATTTTAAATTGTTATTAGTTGATTAAAAATAGAAATTAAAACTAAAATTTTAGTTTTAATTGTAAGAAACCGTCATTTTTACTAATTATAACAATAAATTCTTTACGCTTTCAAGTATTATTTGAAAACAATATAATACGATAATAAATGAATAAATGTCAAACTATTATGATAATTATTATAAGTGTCTTTTATCAATATATTAATGTATTTCACTATTAATTTATCTTAAGTTTTTGTTAGATATAAATAGTGCTCAAAAATTTTATTTGACAATCAGACATCTTTGTGAATATCTTGTTTTATTTTAAAATAACAAATTAAAATGTTTAAATGTGCATGTATGATGCTGTTGATTGGAATTGTGGTAGGGGGCGATTTTAACCATAAAACATGTAGTAAGTAATAAATATGTTCAATGCTACAATAATTGATATTTTGTAATTATTTTTAAAAAGCACGTTTATTTATTAAATATTTTAGCAACCGACCCAGCTGGCTTGTGTACCCGTTTTGCACTCACTGGTTGTGTGGCCGATAAACCTTGTAATATAACCCGTGGCGAGTTGTTGGTCTTAGACTTGGATTTTGTATCAGGTACAAATTTACTAATATGTCTTAAATTATTTTAAAGTTTGAATCACTAATTGAATTTCTCTCTCTCTCTCTCTCTCTCTCTCTCTCTCTCTCATTATTATTATTATTGTTGTTGTTAAATAGATACAATAGGTTCTTCAAATCCTGAGTTCAGTATGGCCGCTGAATTTGATCTGGATAACATACATCACCACGTTATTTTAGATAATATTTTGCCCAACTTTGAACCCGATGGTTGTAAACATACCAAATGTCCGGTCAATAAAGAATATTTGCAAAAGTTTTATTTGAGCCAAACCATACCCGTCGACTTTTTCCCTGAATTAAACAACATTGATCTTTCATTTCGTATAGTTAATAATTTTTACACTCTTTTTTGCACACAGATAACTGTTAACCTATTGAATTAATTATTTACTATTTTTTATTATGATAAAATAATATTTAACGTGAAATGTCTTAAAATAAAGTTTTAAAATTAAAATTAATCAATATAAATTTTTATGATTTTTTAAATATAACAATATAATTAATGATACAAATAATAATATAATGTATTAGACAATAATATAACATATAATGTAATAATACAAATTTTAATGTATAAGGATGAATAATTTTATCATATTTATGATTCATAAATAAGTATGTGTTTTTAAATCTTGTAATACTAATCTTGATATAATTATTTAACATAGCATGTTATTTCTAATAACAAATGAATTTGATAACAAATAAAACTAAAAATATAAAAATAAATTAATATAAATAAAATACTAGAATTATTAATAATAGATAACGTAATTTTTACTATGCTAGGCAGGTAATTATTATTAATTATCAGTTATACTTAGGGGTCGTTCTCAAAGTACGTGGGCACTTTTTAGAAAATCCAGACCCCCTCCCCCTTATGTTCGCACTTGTTTGCATGTAGTCATTTAAAATAAAAGTACGTTTGCATGTCCCTATTACCCCCTATTAATCATTCATGATATTAATAACAGAAACCTCATATTTTTGAATTATGCAATTTATTTATTTTACAACTGCTTATGTAATTATACATGCTTATGTAAGTATATGCCTAATCATTGCAGAAGGGATGCCTATACATTGTAGATCTAACTAACATTTTACAAATATTTAGTGTAATATTGTTAAAAAAATGTAATAATCAATTATTTACTTTTAATAATCATATTTTTTTTGTAAATATGTATTTATTATTAATTCCATTTATTGTCAATTTGTCAGTAATTATAATAATTAATAATTTTTATTTAAATATTTTGTATTTAGAATTAGCAGACATAAAAATAAAACTTTCACATAATCATACTATTCAATAATTTATCAATGTTACTGATTAAGTTAAATGTCAACAGGTTTTTATCAATTATACTTTTTGTCTTATAAGAAAATAAAACTGTTATTTCGTAAATTAATTTGTTTTGTAAAACTTGCACATTATTATTATATTATTCCTTATTTTTAAATTATTTTTTATATTATAATAATGATTATAAATCCTAATAATTTAAATATCAATCTACATTTTAACAATATTTTATTGTGTATACAAAATTGTTATTTAACTTATGGAAACAAATAATTATATACACGAATACACTTAAAACATAATATTTTACATAATATATTATATTTATTGTAAATGAAATTGATAAACCTCATTATTGATAAGAATTATTTACAACTAGATTATACTTAAAATGGTATATCTAAATTAAGTTATTTATAAGATTATATATTTACCTATTATATTTAACAATCAAATTTTATGTGTAATAAATATAAATTTATTTAGTTTTTTGATTTGTAAAGATCAGTTAATTAAAGTTTGCTTAAAATTACTATTTGAAAAATGAATTTATTCTTATTATATATTATATGTTGTAGTGTTGGATTAGGTAATAGTAAAATATTGTTAACACAGCAAAATAATATAACAAAACTCAGTAATAATCACGGTAATACAAGTTTCATTTTAATTTATGTTTTTCATATTGATATTTTTATTTTATTTACAAAGTTATATATTATTTTTATATTTAAAAAGAATTATGTTAATTAATTAGATATGTTTGGAGGGTGCCTTATTGATGCGATTGGTAAGTTTACTGAGTTTCATAACCCGAATTATCCTGAAATGGACAACCGGACAATTGTATGCGCCCTTAACATAAAGATATACGACTTGGACGTGTGTCAGGTGCGAGTTGATTTTAATAAATTTGACATAGATCAACCCACGAATGGCGATTGTTTGGGCGACAAGTTTAGAGTGACCACATCATCCGGAACGCCAGTAGTGATACCCACATTATGTGGCCGTAATCATAATCAACATTGTAAGTGATTATTTTCAATTTAGCTTATATTTGCAGTATATTTAATTTAATAAACTATACACTGTTCTCAAAGTATCATGCTATAATTAATTTTTATGTTATCTATCATTGTTAGTATATGTGAATATACCAAGCAATAACGATATCACCGAACGTTCGGTTAGTTTATTATTTGACACAAATAACATTGGAGATTACATGTGGCACATAACCGCCAACCAGATTAATTGCCATGAAAATTACAACGATTATCCTGATCAACCAATAATGGCGCCCGAAAGTTGCTTACAGGTAATAAATTAAATCTTACAGCAATATAAATTTTACACGTATAATGACATTTACAAACAAATAAATTGTAATAAATTTTGTAATATAAATAATATTATGCCAGTATTTCACCACATCACGCGGACTACTCGAAAGTTTTAACTATGGTATAGGGTATTTAAATAATCTGGACTACGATATATGCATTCACAGACAAATTGACACGTGCCGGGTCACTTACACGGCCAAATTCAATGAATTTGGAGTAGCTTGCACTGACCCTGGTAAAATATTTGGCCGTTCAGGTGATACTAATTGTGTCAACGATTACCTAGTCATTGAGGGTGGATCACGTGATGGCAAAGTGCCCACATATGACCGATATTGTGGCAATCGGTTGCATTATGCTCAAGGTTCAAATATGACCGCACCGATAGTATCTAAATCTAACGGTCCAATTGCCGTACGCTTCCGGTCGGACTCAAATAGAGATAATGTTTGCGACGGTCTTGGGTTTCGTGTCCGTTACGAACAGAGTTCGAGCGATTGCTAATTGATCATGATGCCAGTCAACATGATAAACATTTATTTTAAATAATAAAAATATTTAAAAATTGTTTATGTTAGATATTTTTTTAATATCAAGATAACAAATAAATAAATTAATATTTAATTATTTTCATTAATAAATTGTGTAATTTATTACATTATGTTTTTATAAATAACCTTTTAATAAAATATACATCAATACAAATAATAGAAATAAAGAAGTACTTTGTAAATAATGTATAAATGTAACCAAAATATAGTCATCGCATAATTCAAAATTTGTATAATATAATTTCTGCTTGCTAGATTGAAATCTTATTTTTAAGAGCATACTAGTAACATTATCATTATTTTTACAATTTATATCATGCCAATTTTTAAAGTATTTTTGACGCAACCAATCATTACCAAGATGGTTGCAATCGGTGTTCGAATAAATTCTATTATGATGATTATTCAATAGGAAGGGTGCGAATACAGTCTCATTCAGGTATTGAAAGCCATTATTATAGAGATACAGATTTACACTGGCATAACTGGTGAGCGCAAAAGTTGATCTCGTCATAATAGCCTTGTTTAATTTATTACCTTCAAGATGTATATCAAAAATATAATTGCCCGGTTTAAACATGCTACTTTGTAAGACTTGTAGTTGATTTCGTTTAATGTCCAACACAAACAATTTGGTCACATTATCAAACGCTTTATCACCGATCGAGGTGAGTTTATTGTTTGACAAGTTAATCATGGTCATATTTGGGTGTAACCTGAACGCTTCGTACGGTATTATGGTCAGATTACTATCGTGTATATATAAATACTTTATAGTCAGTGCCGTACGAATCGCTTGGAACAGGTCATATTCTGGGGCGTGTAATTGATCATAATCGACCAATGGTGTGCCGTAGATTGTTAGAGACTTGAGCATGGTGCTTGCCAATGCGTCACGGTGAATTCGTTGTATACCGCTATTTATGATGTGTATTGAGTAAAATTTAAGCCGCCCAAATACAAAAGCCGGCAGTTGGACCACGTGGTCAAAGTTGTAAATAAATAGCCAGTTGTATTGAATATCATTGCCCAATAAATTGCTTATTCGTTTGAACATTGTAGCTACATTTTCGGTTATGCCATAAATACCATCGCATTGTATATCCCGATGTCCCCGTTTAACATCTACTTTGCATGTGCATGGTGCATATTTTTCCGGTGCAGCGCATTTTATATTTGCAGACCATGCGCCTGTTATGACCAAGTTAATTATTATTATGAACGTAATAAAATGATAAATTTGGTTGTTTGCTAAAATTCATTATAAATTTTAAAAAAAATATTAACAAAATATATTTATTATGAATTTTGTGACACTTACTCATTTTAAAATAATATAAAGTTATAATACTTGTTAAATTTATTTTAAATATACAGTAATATGGCTTAGTTATAATGATTTCACTTTATCATATTATTAAATAATTTATCAATTTTATTGATTAATTTAAATGTCAACATATTTTATCAGTCAACATTACTTACAGTTACTTTTAGTTAAAAATATAATCTCATTTTTCAGATATACCAGGACCGTTAGTTTATTTAACATAGTTTCATATATAGATAATATAATTATAAGATAAGATAATAAGTAATTTTAGTTATTATTACTTATTCATGGTAATTTGAAATATATTGTCAAAGCTAGGTAATTTTAATGTATATTTTGCAAATCACATTAATATGTAGATAAAATTAATAAAATTTAACAAATCTATCGTAAAATATTTTCTAATCAAAGTATAATTACAAAAAATATATAATTCAAATACAATCAAAATGGCATAGATTGCAAATAAAATCCAGTTTTTAAACACAAATATTATTAAATTTAATATTTAATTTTAATTAAAATTTTTTTATGCAAACATATTCTTAGCATCAGTTATGACTAAAATCAATTATATAAAAATTATTTAATCTATTAGTTTTTCTAATATCTACAGTTTTCTAACAGCATTCACACAGAAATCACATCTTCCAAAAAAAAGTTTCAAAAAAGTTTTAAACTAAACATAATTTTTGTTGTATTTTGGTAAATTTTCAAACATTAATCACAAATGCCATTACATTTATTTACAATGCACTACACATAATACATCCCACCACTCTCTATATTTGATAACGACATATTTGAATACATTAAGATAATGACAAACTTATTAGAAAGTATGTTGCCCTATACTGCGGGCAAATGCACAGATATGCCCACTCAGAGATCCGCTGTTTTTAAGTTAAAACTGATCTAAAATTTACAAATACAAAATATGTAACATTTAATGTAAAAACATGTTTAGATTATTATAAATAATTAATATTGGACATGAGGGAAAATAGCGAGAAAATTTGCCTTACTTGACTTTGAATAAGTGTAAAATTTTTATGCATTGTATGAACCAATTCATTTAAACTCTATTCAATACTTCAATATATTAGCTTCAATTATATGTAATAAAATTAATATATTTATAACAAGAAGTAGGGTTGCCAGATGAAACTAAC